AGAAGAGAATTCAAAATAACCACAAAAGATGCAAGTTATTTTTTGGGTCTGGAAATAAAGGCAAATGAAAGTGGAATATCAATCAGTCAGGAAGCATACGCAAAAAGAATTCTGGGAAGATTTAGGTTTACTGATTGCAGGCCAGTTTCATCGCCTATGCTGAAAGGAGAAAATTTCGAATCGGGGAAAGACAATGTGAAGTGTTCTCAATTTCCATACAGACAAGCCGTAGGAGCCATTATGTATCTTATGTTGGGAACAAGGCCTGACTTAGCTTATAGCATTGGATTCCTTTCAAGAACATTAGAAAATCCATCCAACGAAGATATTACCCGAGTTAAAAGAGTTTTTCGTTACATATCTGGAACAATTAATTATGGAATATTTTACAACAACGAACATGCTCAAGAGCTAGAATGCTACAGTGATGCAGATTTTGGAGGATGTTTGAAAACCGGAAGATCTACATCTGGTGTTGTTGTAAAATTTGCGGGAGGGGTTGTATCATGGTTAAGCCAGAGACAAGCTGTGGTAGCAACATCTACAACAGAAGCAGAAATTGTTGCAGCTTCTGAAGCAACAAAAGAAGTAATTTGGCTAAAACGTTTATATTCTGAATTGATAGAATTAAATTCCACTCCATTGTTATATGTTGATAATTCTGCTGCAGTACGTTTGGCACAAAATCCTGAATATCACAAACGCACAAAGCATATCAACAATAAGCATTTCTTTATTAGAGAAAAAATTTCTGAAAATGAGCTTCAAGTAATACAAATACCTACGCAAGATCAATTAGCTGATTTGATGACAAAACCTTTGCAACCCACAAGACTTTTGGTATATATCATTTGGCCATTTGGTATATATCATTTGATACGGCCAAAATGTGCCTCAACAAAATAACGGTTTTTAGACCCCAGGCATCTTTGGACCAAATTCGTTTCAGGACATCTGGAGTCGATTTAGCGATGTGCGTCCGTCTGACTGTCACGATAAATGTCGAAGATTTTTTCCAAACTTAGTAATATTAATGTCAAACTTAGATCGAGTTCGGCGATGGGCAATATCGCTCCACTCCTTCTGGTCACTATAACCCCCCCCCCCCCCCCCTCCAAAAGGTCGTTATTTTCAAAATAAAAAATAGTTTACTGCACAGAAAGGTACAAGATAACCGGATTTGCTCCTACTTTGCAAATCCTAATATTTGCATCATTGCTAGGTCAGGTGCGAAAATGGACACTATTGGACCACTACATCAAGTTACTCCCCCACAAATGGTCAATATTCGGATTAATTATACCTCTTATAAAATGTAATGTAAGTGCCCGATTGTCTTCAAATTACGTAGATCACAATATTTTTATTAACCCATAGTCTGGTGTGAAGATGGAATATATCGGTCCTCTCCTTCTGGTACCTCCCACTCAAAGGGTCAGAATTTTGAATATACATGAAACTCATAAAAAACCAAATTAACCTCAGATTCCATTCAGAATTGTCATGTCTCAATACTTCCATCAACACAAGGTCTGTTATAAAAATGGTTGAGATCGGACCATTCCTTCTGCTACCTCGTCCACAAAGGGTCAACGTTTTGAATGACAAAGACGATCATAAAATCCAATATAAGCATCCGGTTCTCTTCATATTTCACACATATCATTATGTTTACTAATACAAGATCTGCTGTGGAGATGAAATATATCGGTCCACTCCATCTGGTACCTCCCCCACAAAGGGTCAAAATTTTTTGAATATTCATGAAGTTCATAAAACAGAAATTAACATACGATTCCAGTCTGCTTGGTACATCTCAATATTTCCATTAACACAAGATGTGTTATAAGGATGGTAGAGATCGGCCCATTTCTTGTGGTCCCTCCTCCACATAGGCTTCAAGATTTTGTAAAACAAAACGCTTAAAGAAAGCGAAATGAGCATAAAACACTCTTCTACAAATGTTTTTGCTAACAGAAGATCTATTGTGAGGATGATATACATATATCTGTAAAACCCTTCTGGTACCTAACTCACAAAAAGTCACAATTTTCAATACTTTAACTTGCGAAATATGTCAGCGATTCTTTACAACTTGCTATATATAAATATTTCTCTTTATCAGAAATCTGATATGAATATGTAATTTATCGGAATTCATTATTTCGCATAAAATTGGATATATATGTTCGATTTCATTCAAATTTTGCCCATACCAATATTTTTATCTGTATTAGATGAAGTATGAAAATGGGATACTTCGGTAGACAATTTCTGGTACCTCATGCATATTCCACATTTTCCAAAAATATGCACATATCTCATATAAACTTTAAGAAGTAGTCGAAATAGTCCAAATCTTGCACGTTGTAATATTTGTATCAGTCTTAGATCAGATACGAATTGGTCAATATTGGCCAAATGCTTCGGCACCATAAAGAGTCAACAGTTTGAATTATCATAACTCAAGGCTGGTGGTATACATCTGTCGGCAAAACCGATTGATACTATTTCACTTGTTTTTACTTACTTACGGAAGCTCATAGGATGCCTGGTGTAGAGTTATGGCAGACAGAACAAACTTCTTTGTAGTCCGTACTTCCACCTTTTGTTTATAGAAAATAGCTTAAGATAAAACCTAAAGCTCAAGATAAAAATTGCGGTGCGATGGTTTTACAAACTCTTCTTAATTAAAGCTAATAACTCTGAAACTGAGAAAAATAAACTAGGCTTTTCATTTATATGTATTTTCTCCTCTTTTTACGGTAAACAACCAAAATCGATGTTACTTGGAAATTCGAATTATTTACTTAGGACTTTAGGATCATTCGAGACAAAACGAGTATTTTATGAAAGGCCTAATATAGGCTCAGGTTATGAATAAAATCATACTTCTATACTTTTTTCCTACATTATGCGATAAAAAAAAGTAATTCCAACAGAGCCTTGTGGTATTTCTATTGTTTATGTTATTAGAAATATATATTGTTTAAATTTCATCCACGATAATATTTACTCACATATATATTGCATTATTATCCTCAAATGCATCTCATCCCAAAGGCGCTCTTAAGTCGCCTAATATTTACATGACACACAAACGTATGTACATATAGAGTGTGTCACATTGGCACATATTCTATTACGGGGCCTGTTTTATATGACCCCACCCTACGTACTTTTTGTTGGCATTCCCCTTGTGGGGATACACACAAATAATAGAATCCATAACGCACATACATGGCTAATGTTGTATGAGATTTATTATGAGTTTTATTTCCATACTATATAGTATTTTTTGTTCTTTGGTTTGTTTTTATTGGTGGTGTTGATGAAAGGTGGTAGTGGTGTTGCTGTTGTTGTTGTTGTCTTTACTGGAACATTATTAATTGAACATTGTCGTATAATTGAAGAGAGTTCATGGTGGTGGTAGGGTGCTAATGGTTAGAGGAAACATTGTTACACACTTTATGGATTGACATGATAATGGAACGCGTAATATTTGTAGTACATATTCGATGTATGCGACACTTCACAACGTTTTGAGGAATGGGCTTAAATTGGCGCCTTACTCCTTTCGGTTTTCTACAAAACACTTAACATGCGAATAGCTAAATTACTCTGATGGTCGGTCCCATGCCATTGGAATAAATATAGGCAGGTGGCGGCGGTATTCGATTCGATGTTGGTGGTCAGTATGAAGCACATAGAAGGCCTTTTATGTCGTTGGTAGGCAAATGGTAAGCTTTAAAAATACACTTTGCTATTGCAAGGGGGGAACCTTGTGCAGCATAAATAGCTTGCCATTCTCCTTTTCCCCCACACTTTCCCCGGATGTTGTTGTAGTAGATGGTGCTCTAAAAAGTGGTGACGAAATATCGGTGAACATACAATGACAACGAAGGCGAAAACATTAACGTTTCTTGAATGATTTAAATTTTGATTTTGTGCCAAGTGTGTGAAGTATGAAGGTAATTTGACCATGACTTAATGGGTCGCCCTTAAGGCTTTGCCGCATCGCATTTACTTGGCTAATTTACGCATTTGCTTGGTCTGCTCGGCCATGGCAATCTCAGCACTATCTGCCTTATTAATCATATCATCCAAACGATCCAAGTGTGAAGTCATCTTTTTGTTAATATCCAATTTGGCCTGTCGTATCTTTTCTGTGGGAATAACCGGTTCACCTTCTTTGTGTTTCATTTCGTCCAAAACTTTGGCGGCTTCATTCAAATTTGTGGCATTTGCCGTGGTGTTGCGTCTACTGGTGCCAGCCGATGAGGTGTTCGATGACGAAGCCTCAATGTCCACAGATCCGGAACGGCCAAAGATATTGGAAAGACTGCCAGCAGCACTTTGTTTGAAACGGAAGATTTTCTGTTGTGTTGATGATAAAATGCTGTTCAACTCATCAAGTTTGCTGTTTGCACTTTGCATGGTTTCATCCTGTTCCTCCAGGGCCTGTGAAAGGAATTAACATCGATTCGGTTTTAATCTATTTCCTTTGTATTTCCATGCTTCTTACCTGAGCCTCTGCGGCTAATTGTTCTTCTTGTTCCTTTTGCAAACGTTCTGCTCGTGCCTTTTCAAATTCTTCTTGATTAGGTTTTTCAATTCCCAGCAATTCAGCCCTCATACATTCGAATTCGTAAGTTCCTTCGGCCATAGTGGATTAAGCGTTTAAACCTTTACTGTTTTGGAAGTTGATGCGAATTAAAAGATAGGATATTTTTGCGTTCGTTTAGTTTTCCATTTAGGGAAAATTAACTAGAGCAAGCCAGTATGGAATGTGTTCATGTATGTTCGTGTGTGTGTGCTTTAATATGTTTGCCTAATGCTCGAACTGGCGCATGAGCTTTACTTTAAGAGAAATTACACCATTTCCAGGGGGAAAAATCGAAACTAAGAAATAGATTCTTTCGCATTGTGAATGACATTTAAAACTTCGGGTTTTGTGAAATGATAATGAGTCCTAACAACAAACTACATAGGAAGATTTTTTAAGGGCAATTTTTTATTCAGTACATCTTTCATAAATCTGGATATAAGACTCTGTTAATGTTATCATTTGGGGCAAGATTTCCGTTACATGCAAGTCTTGCATTTCATACCACTGACCATTGGCTTTGTGCAGCATATGCACTCGATATGTGCCCTTATTTGGCTCGCCGTCATGGACGATGTTGGCCACTAGATTATATTTACAATTGCCAATTTTTTCGCGATTTTGAATGGAAAGAATATCTCCAAAATCCACATTTCTGAAAAAGAATACAAAACTAATACAAGCCACGTTTAATATATTACAAAATGACTTACTTGATGGGGAAATTCACAATGGTCGGATTCTTTTCCAAAAAGAAGGTATTTTTCGTAAAACGTTTTATGTACAAAATGATGAATTGCGGTAGGTGGGCCACTTCGAAGCGCTTTAGAAAATTATCCTTATATGTTTTATATTCCTTTTCTGTTGTGCCATTAAATTTCGACAGCAATTGATACAGATTCACTTGGGGTATAATATTCTCCCGAAATTCATCGGTAAACAGGGGAGGTGGCGGTAGATCACATGTCAAATACAAGAAATTTGTTATTTCACATTTCTCCTGATACTCCTCGGTGGCCAAAAGCAATGACTTTTGGGTATCATCCAAATCGACGGGTGGGATTTTACGGGTATAGATTTTCATTTCACCCAAAAATGTTTTATAAATTACCGAAGAGTCAACTTTCTTGGTGCCCTTTAAGGCCCGATGCAGGGTATGCAGAAACCATGATAGAAAATCAATTGGATCACCTTGTTCAGTAATTTGAAATCGCTTGTTGGACCACAGAACCACGGCCTGTAACATTTCATGGGGCGACACGTGAGCCTTAAAATTACGAGGATTCCACATTTTACGCATTAGCTCGCCAAAACGTTGTACCAAATTGAATATCGAATCACCGGGAGGTCTTTTAATTTTGGCATAATGTTGTTCCCTAAGGAAATAATCCCGCAACGGGCCCACATGCGAGAGGGCATGCAAAACAACATTGCAATAGTCATTGGCCTTAATGTTATTCAAACCCACAACACCGGGTAGATACAAAGTACCATCAACGGTACGTGAATACTTGGGATCAGCTTTGTCCAAATTCTTTATATCGGCCGGCGAGAAAGTGGGATTTAAAACAAACTTGATATCATCCAGGGATGAGTCAATAATTTCATAGTTATCTGGCAGGCAATAGAAACGCAGTGTCTGTAAATTCAGGAACACATGATGGGCCTCCGCCACTGAATGTGTATAGGCATGGGTATTGGTACCACGACCCTGGAAGTATTTACCACACACCAGGCAGGCATAAACATTAATGCGGGTCAGTGATATGGAACACAATTTTTCGAAATCAAAATCCAGCAGTGGTCTGTTTATGGTATCCAGATAGGGACAGACACGATATTTGGGATTAAATGCTGATGGAGTTTCCAATTCTTCTACGGAATAAAAAAGAAACTTTCATTTTCTAGACCCTTCGCTCCAAACAACACCTCAGTTTACTTACCATCGTCTTCATTGCCCGTATTTTCCTTGTTCGATTCCTCTAATTTGGGCTTCTTTTCTGCCGGTTCTTCAGTTGCTGTTGATTGTAGAGACATTTATTTTACTGAAATCATTTAGTTTTATTGAAAAACTTACCGTTTCCAGACATTTTTTTTATTATTTTTGTTGAAATTAGATTGCAGCAATAAACGTATGTTTACAATCACAACCTTTGGAGATGCAACAACTAACGATAACAGAGACAAATTGCCGGCATGCATCAATTGTTATCGTCATGATGTGTTATCGTTTCTGCACACAATTGAGTTGAAGCGTCAGGCGCTTTTATTCAATTGGTGAATAATAACTTTCTTTTAGAGGGAAAAAATCACACAACGGGTCAAAATGTTGAATTATTATAATTCTTATAAAACGTAAAATAATCATTCGATTCCCTTTAAATTTCGCACATCACAATATTTCTACTAAAACAACATCTGGTACATCCCAAAATTATGTAGACTTGTCTAGTTTGAAAAGAATCGCCGATATATTTTGCAATTTATGAGAGATATATGCATTGCACATTGTGAAACTTTGTTGGAGAGGTACAAGAAGGAGGATATATGAAATTTGAAAGTAATCGGATGCTTATTTCGCTTTTTATGATAGATATAGTTATTCAAAATTTTGTCCACATGTGGGGGAGGTATCAGAAGGATAGGTCCGATATATCTCATCTCCACATCTTGTGTAACAAAAAAATTTTGGATATATGAAATTTAAAAAGAATCTGATGCTTATTTCACATTTTATGGGAAATATAATTATTAAAAAATTTGACCAGCTATGGGGGAGATACCAGAAGGAGTAGTCCGACACATTCCATCTTCATACCAGGTCATGTGTTGATAGAAATATTGAGATGTGCCGAGTTTAAAAGGATTCTGATGCTCATTTCACGATTTACGAGCTTCATGGCTATTCAAAAGTTTGTTTCGTTATGCGGGAGGTACCAGATGGGGGAGACCGATATATCCCATCTCCGGTTCGATCTCTACCATCAGATCTTGTATTGATAGAAATATTGCGATGTACCAAGTCTGAATGGAATCGGATGTTAATTTCGCGTTTTATGATCTTCAAGGATATTTAAAATTTTGACCCTTTGTGGGGGAGGTACCAGAAGGAGTAAACCGATATATCCCATCTTCACATTAGATGTTGAGTTGATAGAAATAATGGGATGTGTGAAATATGAAGATAATTGGATGAAGATAATTATTTCACATGTTATAAGAGTTATAATTATACAAAATTTTGACCCTTTGTGGGGGAAGTACTTGATGTAGTGGACCGATATATGTGAAGATGGACACCAGACCATGGGGTATTAAAAAAATTGTGATATGTGTAATTTGAAGAGCGCCGGATGCTGATTTCGGTTTTTATGATGGTTTTGGTTATTCAAAGCTTTGACCCTTTGTGGGGGAGGTACTTGATGGAGTGGACCGATATTGTCCATTTTTGCACCTGACATAGCACTGACGCAAAAATTAGGATTTGCAAAGTTGGAGCAAAATCAGATTATTCCTTCTCCTTCTGTGCAGAAAATATAATTTTTGAAAATTTCGACCTTTTGTAGGGGAGGTACCAGAAGGAGTGGACCGATATACTCTATCTTAACACCAGACCTTAAGTTAATAATATTATTGGCATGTGTGAAAGACAATCGGACTCTTACATCACATTTTATAAGAGTAGTAATTATTCAAAATTTTGTGGGGGAGGTACTTGATGGAGTAAACCGATATTGTCCATTTTCGCACCTGACATAGCATTGACGCAAATATTAGGATTTGCAAAGTTGGATCAAAATCAGGTTATTCTATATCTTTCTGTGCAGAAAATATATTTTCTGAAAATTTCGACATTTTGTAGGGGAGGTACCAAAAGAAGTGGACCGATATTGCCCATCTCCGAACTCGATTTAAGTTTGACAATAATATTACTATGTACCAAGTTTGGATCAAATCGGATGGACATCGCTAGATCGACTCCAAATGTCCTGAAACGGATTTGGTCTAAAGAGACCTAGAGTCATAGCTATTTCAATGAGGCACGTTTTGGCCGTATCAAATGATATATACCCTCTGTACCCATATGGCTGAGGATATAATAACAATTTTTTGAATTGGTTGTTGTTGAATTGTATTTGGTATGGTTTGGTATGACATTGAGAATTCCATTTTAAAGACCTTCTGTTCTAGATTTGTCTGATTTCTAGTTGGAATCATGGTACAATGATATCAAGGTAGGGCTATGATACCATATGATTTAAATTTTTTTATTTTCTTGGCTTAATATGTCATCTTTATTTGTTTATGTATGTGTTTTCTTTTCAATAACAAAAAAAAATTGTTCAGAAAACATTCAAATTCGTATGTTTTCAAAACGTTTATTTCATCGTATGCATCGACAAAATCTAGAGTTTTTGTAGCGAAATAATCCTTTAGAGATATATAGAACCTGGTTTTGAAAAGAAGTGTTGACCTTTCATTCAGTTTTCGCGGTTTTCAATTATTTATTCAAAATAAATGCAACAAGTTGTTTGATTTTGTTATTGTTTTGATACTATTTCTGACATTACAAGCCAAACAGGTAGACCTCTATATTTGCAATTTTTTCAAAGTTGACCTACCTTCTCTTCATTGTACCATGGTTGGAATATTATTTTTTGAATATTTTTATAATTTGAATATAAGACTGCTAGGAATTTGCTCTATAGCATTTATAACGACAAAAATTCGTTTGCCGATCCAACTTCCTACATATATGTATTTCAAATTCCTCTTGGCAATGGTGTATGCTTCATTAGTTAAATGATTTCACTTTGTTTATTCTTAAACAATAATTTACACTTATTTTTTTTTCTCTTCGAATAAAAAATAACTATTCTCACAAAACAGTTCATATTAGTTGGTCGACTGTATCGGATGGAAATTACCTACCATTTGATCAAAGCGATATATTAAAACACTTGTTTGTTTTTGTTTGTAGAATATAATATATATGTATGTATTTATTTGTTTATTTCTTCAAATAAAAAAAAATGATTTTAATTTTTGTTTAATACTAAAAATACGTTTTATAAGTACACTTCATATGAATACACATTCCGTATGTAATAACCAACCACAAAACGACAAAAATAAAGTTTTTAAATAAAAAAATATATTATATATATTTATACAGTAACGAAAAAAGAAGCCTAGAAACGGAAAAGAAAGAAGATATTAACCCTTTGTTGAAAGTGACTTTAAATCGCCAAAAAAGTCAGCGATCCATAAATAATTTGATGATGATTACTCAACGTTGATTTAATAATTTCTCGAATAAAAAAATAAATTATTTAGTGACCTCGGCGAATTGAAATAATTTTTGCTCTTTTCTCAAATCTGTGAAATATGAAAATTCAAAGATCAGTTTTAACCTTGAACTTGAAATTATAAATAAACCATTTAAAGGCTACCGAAGAATTAGAAAATATTTAAAACAAGAATATCTAGAGAAAATAGTGAAATAAAACTTAAAAAAAAGAAAATCATTTACAAAACATAAAATGTGATCGATTGCTTGTGTTTTACACTAAAAAAGAAAATAAAATAAAACGCATCATTAAAAACAAAAATATACGAAAGTTCTACTCTCTAACTATTACACGCTCGTTTTTGCATTAATCTATTTCAATATGGATTAACCGCGGCCAGGCCCACACGACCTGCTGATCGTGAGAATACCGGTTCAGCATAGCTGTGACGATAGCCTTTGGCCATACTCGATATTCCCTTGCCGCCATGCTGCGCCGATGATGATGATGTCGGCATACCCAAACCGCTGCCGGGTGGTGAAACTTTGCCATTGGCCGGCACTGGATAATGGGACGATTCTATGCGCTGTTGTTGTTGATGATGATGATGCTGGTGGTGACTTCGTTCGGGTGTATAATCACGCCTGCTGGGATATTCACGCGAATGGTCGCGTATGCGTTCTTCACGATAACGTTGTGGCGGTACATCATCCCGATATTCGCCACTGTCTAAACGATTACGTGATTCCGTTCGTTTTGACGATGGATCTCGGTTTCGTCCACCACGACTACCCACCTCGAGCGGTGGTAACACCTGTTGTGATGGTTTCGATCTACCATGATCTAACCACTGATCACGGGAACGAGAGCGTGACCTAAATTCTGGTGGTGGACTATCATATAAATGTTCGTCATCGCTCCAGTCGTCGTAGGGTCGTTGTGTTGCATGTTCGGGTGTATGTGAAGGACCTCGTTGTCGTGATTTATATTCTTGTGGTTCTTTTTCATCGGCCAGCTCATAACCCGATGACCTTGTTGATCTTTCCATGGAGCGGAATTTGTCCTTGGCATCTTTGAAGCGATCCTTGTTCGAAGAGCTTTCATATTCACCACGTACTGCAGCGCCAGATCTATGACCATGGCTATAGCCATTGTTATAGGCAAAATCGTGTTCCTCATCGTGATGTGAATGCGTCTTGCTGCGTTGACTTAATTTGCTCTGTAGTGGTTCCTTGGACCTGGGTACATTAATATCGGCACTGTTGTCATATGATTTGTACCGCATGGCAGTGGATTTCATCAGCTTCTCCATACTCTCAATGTAGGGAATACTTTCCGGTTCACGATAGGGATTACGTTCTTTGCTGCGAGACAGCTGTTCCCTTTCGCCACGTGAATGATGTTCTGGTTCGGGTTCGCGTTCGTGTGAACGATGTCTCAGCCTTTCGCCATCACGGCGGTCATGGGATCTTGCACCGGGACGTTCGGCAGTACGATGACTTAATTCAGAATGTTCTGGCGAATTAGATTCTCGATGATAGTTGCCATATTTTCCGGAAACTTTTGTGTTCTGTTCAAACGGCAAATCAGCAGGATCAACATAACGATGTTTGCCACCATACCTTTGGACCTCCTCGTGGGCATAAGATTTTGTGGGCAGTGGCTTGGGTTTGCTGGAATATTCAATGTATTTCTGTTTGTCGGTCAAATTCTCCTTGCGATGATAGCTTGAATGGGCCACTGGTAAGGGACCGTCTGCATCATCGGCGTATTCATCTAGATTTTTACTCGATTTGCTTTTGAAACGTTGCTCAGCCGATTCCAAATGATTCAAATAGGCACTCTTGCGTTCTTCATGCAGCTTCGAGCGACCTTTATCCTCCAGAGCGAATTGTTGTTCACTTTGCAAAACTCGATTGAT